GTTTCATGCTTCCAAACCTACGTTTTTACCATTTTACAGATGTTTTTAATTGTTTTCGGTCATCTCCCATGCAGACTACTATCATATAATAGTTGGAGACAACAACAACAAAAAGTTGTAACATCCGACGGTCATGGAAGTAAAGGAAAACTATAAATAACACACAATCATCATAGACAACTATCATATTGAATATAAAATAGGATTTGCATAATATTTGAGAGCAAATCTGAAGAAGTGCCAAATCGTAAGGCACACAGGGAAAGAAAAAAAAATGGAAACACAGAATTGCAGAAAGAAATAACACAGGCTCTAATGCCAATCATGGTGTTCGGGCATACCTGAAGTGTCGAATAATCTCATATTCAGATAGCCACGCGTGGAAGTCTGATCACGATAATGGAGTCGGAATGGATGTTCACAGCAAATGCACCTTTTGGAGAATGAGAAAAGAGAACGCGGGAGCGAAAAAAGGCAAGCCGATAAGTTCAGTTTCTTAAACTGATTCAATAACTTAAAAAACAAAACTTCCACCCCCGTCTGTCCTTATCCATAATTTGAAGAAAAATTACAAATCACCATTTGAGACCCACAGGTTATGTTATTCGCATTAGAGCCCCAAAGTTAATGGGGCTTGGGCCCAATCCACCAAGGGTAGACTGTCCCATTTTCCTACATTTTATAACCATAATATGTTGTACTGTTGATTGTTTATCTTATTCTTTTATATCATGGTTATGTGACAATAAGTGAGGAAATGTGAAATAAAGTTTGTAACCCATTTTCTTAAATTACCATAGTAAAGATGTTGACATTCCTATATTGTGTTAAGTTTCATAAGCTTCTAGATAAGGTGTTACAAAATACCATTCTCAAGTTCTTACATCAATTTAATTTCCATTAACCATGATTTTCACCAAAAATCCCAATTTTACAAGTTTTCATAGACATTTGTCTATTTACGATTCAAATAAGGCTTCGCAGGTGAAACAACCTAAAGTTGCACCACTTTAGTGCAATCCTTGGTTTATTAGTGACCTTGACTCCCAAGGCATTGGATTTGGTCAAAATCATCTTAGTAAAAGAAGATGGAAAATGAAATATCCTTCTATTTACTCCCTTAAGTAGGTATCTAGAAGCGTTACAGTTCAAACAGATCACAAAATAAGCTTGTAGATTGAAAATTTAAAATTTGTTTATCTGGTTACTATTCACTTATAAATTTCAGATTTTTTGTTCAACTTTGAAAATTCATAACTAATTATAGAAAAATCATATTGAGTTAATCTAAGTCCCCATTTAAAGCTCTTTAAATTCTCTACAGGAAAAAATATAAATTTGGACTTAACCCTTATCAATATGTGAAAATTTACTGTTCATTTGGTAAAAATTGTACTTTCTAGTTTCTCTGCCCTAACTTTGAGCAATCATAACTCTTAGCACACACACATCCAAACCAAAATGAAGCATCCTTTATTAAACCCCTTTTAGTATGCGTCTGGAAGCATAACAATTCAAGCGAATCATGAAATAAGCCCATATATTAAAAATTTAAAAGTTAATTCTCGGGTTACTGTTCTCTAATAAATTCCAAATTTTCTATCCAAATTTTAAAATTCATAACTAATTATAGAAAAATAGTTTTACAATTGTAGCTCTTAGTATTTTAATTGCTAGCTAACTCCCAAATCATTTGAAGTGAGGAAAGCCTAACTCATTGTGAGAGAGGAACATTAATATCATTATTAAGCTCTTGTGTTTCATTTCGGTCATTCAACTAAATCAACCATTTCAGTTCATTCTAAAAGATAAAATTCATAAACAAGTCATTTAAATTCATTTACAAGTAGACAAAACATAACCCCCCAAATTTGTTAACTTTACATACAGTTTACTTAGGTAATCATTGCATTTTGGCTCCCTGAAGTGATATGACCCAGATTGTGCCACTTTATTGCATATTTCTTTCTAGTTATTTGTTTTGAATGCCTAAGGTGACTAAAAGGGAGTGTTCAGTCCCTTCATCAACTTTTCATTAAAATAGGGAGGAAAATGAAGAAAAAATTCGTGCATAACCATACCCTTGGCTATTCCTCTACCTATTTTATGGTTTTACATCGTATTGGGTACTTTTTTGGGCCCTAACTTATCTGGTAACCTTGGGACATGTTCTGACACCTTTTCTTTCATCACAATTAACCTCACATGGCATTATATAACATGTATAAAGAGGAAGTGATGCTTTTCCCTTTGTTCATTGATTAAAACATTAAATAATACTTATTTCAGAGTAAATTTGACTGAATTATTTCTATCAGTACATGACTTCAAGAATCTATCTCTGGGTACCAATACTAGATTTTCATCATAGGAAATTTCTCTAATTTTTCTCAGGTCAAAAGCCAACCCATAAACCGTTTATTTTGACTTTCCCCAGATAGTGTGTAAAGAGGCTTTAAATTTTGTTACAGCCAATCTTTTCACTTTTGGGGGACGAAATTGTTTTTAAAACCATTATAATTCATCAAGTATTTATTTTCCATTTATCTCCAATTATCTAAGGCCTCCTCGTATTTAGATAATTTAATTTCAGCTAATATTTATAATTAGCCAAAACCTTAGGAATTCATCAATTTGCTTCAAGGGTATTTTGGTCATTTTCAACCCCATACGGGTCTCAAAACCTCATTTCCCTTTTTTTTGGAATTTTCTGAAATCTTTCTAGAATTTTCCATCAGTCTCTTTTCAGCCTGAAACTTTTCAAATTTACAATTAGGTCCTTGCTTGGGTTTAGCCTAAGGAATAATCTCACTGAGGTTTTCAGCACAACCTTTGGCCCTTAATCATCTTTAATTCCTATACTTGAACCCTCAAGATTTTATCGAAGTCTCTAACTTACCTGTCTCAAGATTTCATAAAACTGTTACTTTGCGATTTAGTACTTGGGATTCCTCTTGCCTTTCCAGGAAACTTTTGGAGCTCTTACCAAAAAGTGTGTAATAGCCTGCCCATGTCAAACTAAAATTGGTATTTCTAGGCCAAAAATCTGGGATGTTATAGTAAAACTAAGAGAAGTGGAAGTGGAATGGTGGAAGATGGAGGACAATGTGAAGGAGGAGAGAAAAATGAATGAATTAGGCTTTGGATTATGTAGATATCCGATAATTTTGGCTAGGTTTAGGTCAAAAATAGGTCAAAAACCAACAAAAATAGAGCTCTAAGTCCAAAATGCATAATAGCAAAATATGACAGATTCACCGTGGCGAAATGCTTAAATAAATAGGCTATAAATTTTGTTAAAGCCAATCTTTTCACTTTTGGGGGACAAAATCGTTTTAAAAACCTATTATAATTCCTCAAGTATTTATTTTCCATTTATCTCCAATTATCTAAGGCCTCCTCATATTTAGATAATTTAATTTTAGCTAATATTTATTATTAGCCAAAACCTTGGGAATCCATCAATTTGCTTCAGGGATATTTTGGTCATTTTTAACCCCATACGGGTCTCAAAACCTCATTTCCCATTTCTTTTGAAATTTTCTGAAATCTTTCTAGAATTTTCCATCATTGCCCTTGCCAGCCTGAAACTTTTCGAATTTATAATTAGGTCCCTACTCGGGTTTAGCCTCAGGAATAATCTCATTGAGGTTTTCAGCACAACCTTTGGCCCTTAATCATCTTTAATTCCTATACTTGAGCCCTCAAGATTTTATCGAAGTTTCTAACTCACCTGTCTCAAGATTTCATAAAACTGTTACTTTGCGATTTAGTACTTGGGATTCATCTCGCCTTTCCAGGAAACTTCTGGAGCTCTTACCAAAAAAGGTGTAATAGCCTACCCATGTCAGACTAAAACTGGTATTTCTAGGCCAAAAATTTAGGATGTTATAGTAAAACTAAGAGAAGTGGAAGTGGAATGGTGGAAGATGGAGGACAATGTGAAGGAGGAGAGAAAAATGAATGAATTAGGCTTTGGATTATGTAGATATCCGATAATTTTGGCTAGGTTTAGGTCAAAAATAGGTCAAAAACCAACAAAAAAAAAATAGAGCTCAAGTCCAAAATGCATAATAGCAAAATATCACACATTCACCGTAGCAAAATGCTTAAAACTAGTCTTCCAAATTTTTGGGCCCAAGTTGTTCCTTATTTGGGCCTTTGCACCTCTTTTCTTTATCTTCCAAGATATCTACAATGTAAAATAAGCCTAAAAAGCATCATATGTCCAAGAAACAAACTTAATCAATGAGTAAGTGCAATTTATATGATGAAAACACTAAACTTAAACACAATTTCATGCAAATACTCAATGACACAAACTTAACATTAAATATGCAAATAAGCCCAAATATCATGCTAAAAATCCTCAATTAATTTAAAGAAATGTATATTAAAATGAGTGCAATCAGAATTCTAAAGCAATTCTTTTTCTAACCATGATAATCCTTTGTATTAGTTGTACCATTTTAGCATCATGTTTGGCTTTTTTAAACTTGAATGTGTTTCTTTTTTTTGTTATGGTAGTATTTTAAATGAGTTTCTTTCTTTTCTACTATGGTAGTGTATAATTCTTTTTAAATGGCTAAGTATTGAGTGGTATGAGAAATTCAAGGACATTTTAGTTAATTGCTAAAATGCATACGTGCAATTATATAGTCACATATAAAATATGGACATTTGTTGTTTTAATATTTATTGTTGTTAAAATAAGTATGTGCACTTTAAATTCACCTATGAACTGTATCTAATGGATATAAACAACTTGACATATGTTTTATACAATATTCAATACCAAGAAATAGTGAAATAGTTATATAAAAATAAGCTAAATTATATCTAAGCTTTATAGTTTGCATTATGGTTTCCTCATTCAATATAGAAAATGCTAGCCAAGATTAGCACCTATCAAAAATTATATTTCATCTATCAATGCTCTGCAAAATTAGCACCTATCAAAAATTATATTTCATTTATCAAACAATTGTAAAATTTACAAAATGGCTTTAAAATTAAGAAGGGACAAAATATGTTTGTGGTGGGCATGTAACAAGAACCTCACCATGCATGTTTATATTTAATTTAATCCAAATATAAGAGTGCGATATATATATACACACATATTTGTCCACATCACAAAATGGGCTTTAATTAATTTGTTATTGCGATAGGTGGGCAGCTTCTATTGCTTCAGCTAGTTCTCTTGTTAGCCTGTCCGCTCGTTCATCATGTCCACCAGCAAATGTGTAAACCTTGAAGGCAAATTCAAATGCCCGCCAAAGTACTTTGACATATACCTCACCGTTTGGTGATGCAACTTCGCGTCCCTCCTGTAATAAGCAATTAATCAAGAACGAGTTATATTTGCATCTTAATTAGGCAAAGATGAATTAATTAGTGGCATTGGAAAAAAAAATTAAACCCGATAACTACCTTAAGTGCTAACATCATGCAATTAGAGGAAAGGTCCACCATGGACTCCTTGATTTTGACGATGACGTGGAAATCAAATTCGATGTTCTGACTCTTGAATTTCTTGGACTCTTCATCTTTTGTTCGCTCTAAGGCATCTATTTCCTTCTTGATCTACATGCCACCATGTTGGATTAGAAATAAAAAATTATACGGAACAAATTAAGGAATAACATGACACAAAAAGATTGAGATTTTGAAGTACCTTGTTGAAATAACGTTCAACCTTGTCCAAGAGCTGAAACAGAGGAGGCACTACATTCCAATTTTGAAGCTCGATTTGTATTAAATTCAACTTATTGTAGAGTGCTGCTGCCATTCTTATAGCTTCCAACTTCCTAGTAGGAAAACTTTCAAACCGCGATAGCACCTATATATACAAGATTAATGGTTATGAAGGAATCATCAATATCATATGATAGTGAATTATCTAATCTCACCTGAGATTCATCAGTTAATTTCTCAAGAACATATTCAACCTCTCTATGGAACTTGATCAGTTCGGTCATATCCTTTGTCTTGAAATTAGTAATGGAAGGACCCAGTCTTGTAATATCTTTGGCATAATTTTGAACATCTTCTTCTATTTGTTGGAAGTATGATGATCTAACAAAAATAGACTACGATAAGATGTGGCAAAAATAGGAAATCTATTTGGTTGATTTTGAAAAGCATACCTTTTAGTCATCTCTGCAAGAGCATCAGCCATTCCTTGTTTACCTCCGGCGCTTCCTCTACCTCCAATAGAATTCTTTCTTCCCCCACCAGATTTTCCATTCAAGTTAGATCCTTCCAATTTGCCCTTGAGATTTCGATACAGATGACCCAAGTGTGCTGACCTTTTCAATTTTGTAGTTACTTTGGGACGTAGGCTTTTCCCTGCTCCAAGAGGGGGTGGTGGTGGAGGACCCACGCCACTTCCCCTTGGCATTGAAGGAGGAGGCACTGCACCTAGTCCAGCCTTCAACTGTACCGGTGGCGGTGGTGGCGAAGACGCATTTATAGCACAAGGCAATGAACGTGGAGCAAGAACCACTTCTTTTTTAGATTGTACAACTAGTGGTGGTGGTGGTGATCGTGATGGTAGTCGCGACTGATCAAGAGCTACTACCTTTTTAGGCATTGATGGAAGAGGAGGCGGTGGTGGTGGAGGGACTGTGACAACCACATTTGGATGCAATATTGCCCGTGGTGGCGGCGGCGATGGTGGTGGCGGTGGAGGTGAGGATGCTAAAGGTGAAGATGGAGAGAGAGGCAGTAGAGGTGGAGATAGAGACAACTTAGGCACTTGAATAGGTGAAGATGGAGAGCGAGGTGGTGGAGGAGTTGGAGGTGGGGATGGAGGTGGAGGTGGAGGAGACAATTTAGGCACTTGAAAATGCTGCAAGAGAGAAGGTGTGTGGGCCGCTTTATCATTCGTGTCCAGGTCAAAAACAAGATCTTCTAGTGCATCATCTGCAGAACTACTGCACATATCATCTACTTCCTCTTCTGTCTTGTTGCCAATGGGGAGAGACAAGTGCTTCAAGTGAATAGGCTTCAACTTTCCCAATGCTTGAACTCTAAGAGACCAGAGAGGGGAGATAGTTGGGCCGCTAGAGGGAAGAACAGATTTTGGAGTGACAGGAGAAGAGCTACAAGAGAAGCTACTATCTGAGAAGGTATACGAACATGGTGATTCCATTGTCGACTTCCCAAACGAGCTGCCTCGTGGGCTTGACTCGTGTTCCTCCTCCTTCCCCACCTCTACCATTTCAAACTTTACACATGCCAGCTGTATCAACCAATCCAATATGACCAACACACTTTTACCTGCAAAACTATAATCACAACTAAGCATATAGACCTCATTCTACAGTCACACGAAATTTTAATTAAAGTAATATACCTAGAAACATACCAAGTTCTTTAATATTGCCCTTCTCCTTACACGGTGGCAGCTCAAAATTGACATTTTTCATCCAATCATTATTCATAATCCAAGACTCTCCAATAGACTTCAAAGCTTTGCGGAAGAAGGCTAGAACCTGGTGGAAAATGTTATCCAAATTTTGGCATTTATAGTCAGCAATAGTTTTACGAGCTGATCCATAAAAGTGTAAATCTTTATGGTATAACCTTATCTATTGACTTTCCCTTGATGTCTGACACTTGATATCTTAGAACGATGGCAGGGTACAGCCTTTGTAGATCTTCTAGGGTTTTGACAATCATCTGAAATGCGTATATGGGAATTCAAAGGGACTGGATCAGTCAAGATACTGCACTTAAATATGTACATATTTAAATATATACAAGCATATTGGAGAATGGATCAAGCACCTCACGTAAGGGACTAGAATTATTACAAGGATCTAGGTCCACGATGTCCCTGAAAGCTAAGACCTTCATTTGGATCTCCATCATCAAAATCAATTGGTCAGACTCAACAAATGATCGACATTCTATACTGCTTTCCCGCTTTCGAATTTTTGATATTTTCTTGTTCTTCGAAATAGTTAAGCCTCTCATTGCCTATAAACATAATTATAATGAGTGCCAATGATACCGTTATTAGATACCCATTCCTAAAAATTAATTTTAAAATTATTCTCTATATGCATCAGACTAGGAGTAACAGGATGAGGAAGAATTTCCAGGTCGAAAGGCATCAAATCTCGGTTCTCTAGTTCATTCATATTTTGCATATATTTGTTTCGAACAAAAAAATCTCAAAGCAGAAAAAATGAAGCAAAATTTTACCTCAAGCCCACATGGCTTACGACGGAAGAGCAATGGCTTTAAGCCGCACAAACCCACGTTAATCATGTCGTGATTGTGCGAAACAAGAGAAAACGACGGAGATTCCGATCAAAAACTTGACAAAAAGCATACGGCCATGCTAAAATATTATTGTTCTTGGCCGGTTTTATAGAGGAAAAGAATAAATCATTGTAACAAGTATTCTAAATACAATGAGAATGATTATGAGAGAGATATACGTTCAATAGATTCTGGGAAAAAATGAAATGCAACAACTCTACTCAAACGGGGCGCTAATAGGAAAATTCAATACATGCCACGCATTTGGGGTTGCTCCTTAATGTATTCTGGAAACTAATGAATTTTAATTGGAACTTTCTCAGGAGAGAGAGAGCCAAATATGATAATGGAAGAGAAAGGGTTATAAGCACACCTTTCCCTTCCGAACTTAATTGATTTGTCTCGCCTTGGCTTTAGTGTTTGTGCCTTTTGGGATTTGTTATTAACAGCTCACTTATGAGGCACCTAGGTCGCATAGCTGGTTTGGCATCGTCACTAAAAATAACAATAGCTTAAACATATAGTGTCTCCTCTCTTGTTCATTTGGATTTCGATTTGCAACAACACGCAATGTGTTAATCCTTCATTTGTTTATATTAGAATTTCATTGTCTAAATTTTAACTTGTTCCTGTTTAATTAAAAATTCAGCATGCGTGGCCATACATGTCAATATTAAAATTATATAGTCACTATTTGATTAAGTCTAAATAGAATGGCCTATTTGAAATTAAATTTTTAAAGCTTAGGAATATATTTGGCGGAAAAATATACATTAAAAGACCAAAGCCATATGTTTAATTTGTTGAGAGTAAAATAGCAAATAATGCATTCTGTATATCAATACGGCTAGCTATTTATACAAAGCCAAGACACTAAAACCTAGAATAACAGCTGAAAGGAAGGAAATACACATAGCCCTAAAGATCATTCTAGAACTCATAACAAGATACCCAACGCACTGGATATAAGAACAAAAGGATAAGAAATCTCGAGGTGGAATGTGTAGATTTGGGCTTTAAGTTGTGAGCATTTGGGTGATGTTATTTTAATAGAGGTCTAAATATCAATATCACAACCAATAAGGTTAGGTCTAGCGAAAGGGATTAGTCTCTCATAATGTGATAAATCAAAGGTCAAATCCCTACTAGGAAAAGTGTCCCATTTAGTACCCGATAGTGCCTCAAATAGAATTGCCTCTAATAGGAGAGTACCTGTGTTTTAGCAAAAAACATGAATATCACAAAAAATGGGGTTATGGTATTTAAATTGCACAAAGCAAAAAGAATAGTGAAATTTCCATTAGTGTTAATTTTTAAGAGCAAACCCGTGAATTTCAGTGTTGAGCACTTTTGCTTTCTACATTCTACCTATCTATATTATAGTTTAAATAATACAATAATCAATCTCATTTATTATTAATCATAAAATACATTTAAATAATCATCATTAATCAAATATAACAATTCATTAAATTATTTATCATTTTTTATTAAAAGATCAAAATGCCATTAAAGCTAGCAAAAGTCATTACAATATGGATTTTAATGAAGCAAAAGAACTTAAAAAAGAAATAAGAGAAGGAGACAAAGAATTAATGAACCCTATACTAAAACTAACGAAATAGTTTAACAGTTGCACAAGATCTTATTTGACAATGTTGCTTGATCCTTCCAATGATTGCCTACAAGAATAAATATGCTTTTTTTTTATGTCCATAAATCAAGGGTTGCTGATTCATTATCAAACAGAGGAGACTAAACAATCCATCGAAGACTAGCTACCATATATTTGAAAACAAAGAAGAAATTACCTCGAGTTAACCTTTTCCATATAAAATGTTGCACAGATTGACTATGGAAACATACCCAAATATGACAAAAAGCATTTCTTTTGTGCTTGACATAATTTAGAATGATTGTCCATCCAGAGGAATTAAGATGAAAGCTAGAATTCTTTAAAGAGCAGCAAGGAAGAATATGATTAGCCTTCTGATGAGATGTAAAGACCATATAATAAAAGGAAGATGAAGATTTAATCTCTTGGGCAATTGAGTAAGGATGAGTAATTTTCTCCTCATGCTTCAAATTACTTTTCATCCATATAACATTAAGAAGAACAATTATACCTTGCAAGAAGTGTGTATGAGCATCATGATTCAACTGAAGCAATGTAGTTTTTAACCATTATTGAAAATCGGGTAGATTAAGATGTTCCATTCTAATGGAGAAACATTCAAACCACACTGCCTTGGTGAAACAACAATTAAAAAATAAATGAAGAAGGGTATCCTCTTCTTGACTTCCAAACAAACGTTGTGCAGTCACATTTAGATGACTCAAACAAAGGATATCACATGATGGCAAGGCATTATGAAGTAATCTCCAAACGAGCAGAAGATGTTTAACAGGAAGTGAAATTGACCATAAAAACTTTTAGAAGTCATCTTTGCTATATGACTAGAGTTTCCTAAAACAGAGTAAATAACCATCTTTAACAACATAAGAACCAGCCATGTTACCTGAGCTTTGGATTTGATCAAGCAAGTTCATTAAGAAAAATGGAATCTTTAAAATAGATTTGGTAATATGAGGAGCACACAAGGATCTTATCAGTGAATTATTCCACTAAATAGGATTTCATCCAATAGGATTATGTATTAGTAAATCTGCAACTAAATGAAGTTCTCCATTGATTGGAGATTCAGACTACATAGGCCACCTCAAGTTGTGGTTGACATAAATAGAGGAGCCAGTTCCAACATTCCATTTGAGATGGTTAATGATTAAGTCAACATGCTTAACTATGCCTTTCCAAATCCATGATGCATTATAAGGCTACTTAATGAAGCGGGCTTCAGATAAATTAATATATTTTGCCTTTTGATTGAGCACAAATTGTCTATATTATTTGATGGTATTTTCAAGATTTTTGTTATACTTTTTGGCTCATTTTGGTGATATTTGTGCTTAATTGAGATTGAGAGTCTTTGTCTTGAATTAGTGTAGTTTGAGGATAAAATTGTCATAATTACTCATTAATTGCATTCAATTGATTTCTATGACAATTGATACTTCAAACCATTACTCTTAATTGCAGGACACTCAAAAAGTAGAGCCAAGAGTAAAGACCAAGAGATGGCAACATACAAAATCAAGAGAAGCAGCACTGTAATAGTTCGCTTCGGCAAAGATAATGGTTCACCGGGTTGAAAGTTTAGAAATTCATCAAAGACCTCTCAACCATACTTCGCCGCGGCCACATACTGCCTTCGCTGCAGCAACGTCATTCCTTCGTCACGGTGAAACCTTCGAATCAGCAACCCAGATCCGAACCCTTTTCGGAAAATTCACTTACCCACTCGTGAGAACCGACCCAATACACCCCATTACTGAATTAGAAACCCTATTTTGGGTAAGATACATCATTCATTCATACAAATTGCCTCCATCTCTTATTCTCACTGACTCTCACTCACTTCCTCTCATCTAACCCTAATTTCCTCCACTTCCACTGTCAAACCTCCACCATGGGTAGCTCATATTCATTCCCAGTTGTGAAGTTTCATAGTGCTATGTGTGGCTAGGCGTTTCTCTTCCTTTTGAAGGTGTAGCAATGGCTGGAATTCAATAAGCTAAGAAGAGGAGTAGTTTAATCCATGGTTCAGCTATGAATTTATAAATTCCTAGGTCTAGGGTTTGTAATTTGTAGTTGAGCTACTTGATTATAGTTATAATCAGATGTGGATATTCATTATGTGTAGTTGGATTGGTTTATGTAGAACTTTGAGCTTAAATATATGTAGTTTCATATATATCTATCTATAATCTTCTTGATACTCTCTTGTCTTGCATGGTTCTGTTTGATATTGAGTTGATTCTGGATTGCATTTGACCTATTGCATTGGCTCATCCTACTATACACACTAAGAGCACTTCACAGGATCTTAAGAAATGGAGTCCCATTGATTAAGATCCTAGACTTAAAGAGTACTTTAAGGTTTATCATTTTGAAACTTAGTGATCTCTACTCCCACAATAATCAATTTTGAACTATGATAGCCAGAGCTCACTTTCAAGAGGATTCTATCACTGTTTAATCACCTATTTCTCATCATTCCATTTTTCATATCCCTAAAATCCAAAAATATTTTTACAATTCAATTTAGTTCAATTAATGTTTTCAAAAATCAAAACCCCTTTTTCCTAATTAGCTTGCATTGCATGGCATTTAAGTTAGCTTAGGTTCCTTCATTTTAGGCTCCGATTAATTGAATGACCCGAGGTTACACCTTATAGTGCAATCCTTAGATAAAATTTTGATTTAACCTCTAAGGGCTTAACGAAAAGGTTGCGAATCACCTTTAAAGTGCAAGTAGGAAGAAAGAAGGTGGTGAGTCTATGATTCTCCATAATTGTTTAGTGACGAGCGATTTGTTAATCATATAAGCTAGTCTAACTCCGGAAAAAAGTTCCTCTTTTCTAGTCATATGCATTTTTCTTCTGTCTCTAACTATTCCCTGGAAAAATCCAACCAACGAGAGTTAATTCGATCACAAATATGTTTGGGCAATGAAAGGCAAGACATAATATGCAATTTCACAACTAAAAGAATAGACTTAATCAATAGAAGGCGTGATGCCTGTGATAACAAACAAGCCTTCCAAGTTGCAGTTTTTCCATCAACCATTTCCAAAACATGATTATAAATGATAGATTTGTCTCTTCCTGAATCAATACTAGTTCCCAAAGATTTCCATAACTTGCCAAAAAAAACCAATATTTAATGTTTGGGCAAATTGTAATTTCAAAGCATGAGGGACATTCAGGCTCAAACTTAGTGTAGACTTGGCAAGATTAATTTCTTGACCAAACCAATCGCGATATTGTTCTAAGCTAGCTTTGTCAATAACAACAATTATGAGTAGCCTTAAAGAAAGTAAGGGAATCATCATCATATAGCAATTGAGTTAAATGTTAAGCCTAAGTACAAATGCATATCCCCTTTCATTTATTTAAGGACTCCAAATGATTAATAAGACATGATAAGACATTTGCAGCCAGAATGTATAAATACAGTGATAAGGGATCACTTTGTCATATGCCTCTGGAGGGTATGATAGGTTGGGACAACCTGTCATTGAATAGATGATAATATACTGAAGAGACACATTGTTGGATAAGATTGATCCATTTGAGAGGAAAGTTCATTCTTCTTAAGACAGCCGCAATAAATTTCCAAGATAGTTTGTCAAAAGCCTTGGAAAAAAACACCTTTAACACAAATAATTTTTTCTTGCCTTGTTTTGCAGTATGGATTTGGTTCATAACATCAACTGTGAGCATAATATTATCTAATATTAATCTTCCCTTTAGAAAAGCACTTTCAGCTTAGAAATGTATTGCTGCAAAGGTAATTTCATACGATTTATGAAGACTTTGGAAATGATTTTGTAAATCATATTATAAAGACTAATAGGCCTAAAGTCCTTAAAAGTCTGAGCCTTATCAATTTTTGGAATGAGAGTTATAATTGTTTTGTTAAAAGATCTCAACATAAATTCAGAGTTCCAAAAGGAATTAACCATTTAAAATATATCTTGCTAAAACAAGGCCCAATTCTTTTGAGAAAAGTCAGCATGGAATCCATTAAAGCCTGGAGCACTATCTTTGGGAAGGAAAAAAAATCACGAATTCTGATTGAGACAAAGGAGAAAGGAGAGAAGTAGCTTCCGAATCAGACAAGGAAGGAATAGGAATTTGTTCAAGCTCCTCAAGGATCATGTTAGAGCTGTGGCTAGCTAGTAGAAGAGTGATAGAGAGCATTAAAGTGATTAAATGCCATCATACTAAGCTCTTCTTGACTATCTGTCCATGTGCCATCTTCTCATTGCAAGTACCTAATCGCATTCCAAGCAATCCTTCAATTAAAAAAGGAGTTAAAGTATTTTGTATTTCATTCACCTTATACCTTCCATTTAATCTTAGCCTATTATTCCCAGTAACTATGTTCACAATCATAAAGGAACTCTAGCTCATGACGGGCTTCGTTGATAACATTGGTTAATTTTGATGAGGGAAATCAAGAAAGAGAAATTTTTTGTTCTCCACCTCTTTGATTCGAAGGGAAAGGTTGCCAATCTGATGCTTAATTACTCTAATTACTTAAGAGTGTTGAGAGTCCTACTTAATTTGCATTCTACCTTGAAACAAGGGGATCCTAAATCAAGGTTGTGCCAAAATTCTAATATTATCCCACAACAGTTTTTGAAGCTATACCAAAAGGATTCAAATTTCTTGAGCTGAGTTCGCTTGGATAAAACCTTTATGGTCATGAGAATAGGACTATGGTCAAATGCTGCTAAAGCAAGAGTCTGCATTGGAGAACAAGGGAAAGAATTAATCCAACTAAGATTGCAAAAAGCCATGTCTATCCATTCTAACACAAAGTCAAGTCCATTTCTCTTGTTGCTCCATGTAAAAGCAAGTCCTTGTTGAATGAGGTTAATTAGATTACAGCTATCGATACAATCATGGAACGCTTGAATGCCACATGAGAAACCTTTACAACTTAATTTATCATTAGAGGACAATGAAATCCCCGATTAGCAACCAAAGTAGATTTATGCTTTAAGAAATTGAAGATATCCAATTCCATAAGACATTTTAAAGATGAGATGGGAGGACCATAAATAAAAGAGATAAAGCAAGAAGGGGTAGTGGCATCTCCATTGATTTTGCAATGGCAAAAATAAGCAGAGATGTCAAGCACAATAACATCCCCGGTCATTAAAGCTCCAGCGGCCAAGGGGTCATGGGTTCGCCACCTTATATTAAAAAAAATCCTTCATCCGCCCGGCGAGTTTGTAAAAAAAAATTTTACCCATAACATTTAATTTCATTTTAGTCAAAAGGGCTGAAATGATGTTTTAGAATCTTATGGGAGATATTGAAAATTAATTTTTTTTTAGAGGGGGCTAAATGAAGTTTTCCCCAAAAAAAAAATATTAGAAGTATTGAATAACCAAGAATGATGGTAGACGAATAGGAATTAACATAGCAGTTAAACCTCATGAAATAGAATAAGAGTAGAAGATGAATAACCAGGTATCTATATTAGTTTGATTTAAACCACTTTAACCTATGGTCAGTAACTGATATCAGTTTATTAGATTTTTATCATAATCTCTAGTATTTACATGGGCTCTAATGTAATAATACAATCTCATATTTTGATCTAGGTGTGTGGATCGTTACTTCTCACGTCCCACAAGGTGCTTTCGAATTCGCTTCCAAGATTACCAACAGCCTTGCGTTTAATATCTCAAAGAATAACAAGTGCGGAAAGTATAAAAAGATACAATGAAATGTAATAGTTGAGGATGGTTAAAACCCTTACTGTTTGAATTAACAAAAAATGATAGAGGCAAGTTAGAGCAATATTTATAGTTTTTGCGAGCTAATAGTCATTAGAAACAAATTATAAATATTATTTGCAATACCTACTCAATAAGATTTCTAGGCTATGCAACAAAAGTACCTTTCACATGGATATAAAGAGCTAGCAGTGAGAGGTGGTTCGCCACCATTTAAAGACCACAATGGTCAATAATGGCTTAACAGCCAAGTAGCAATATGCTTAGCCTTAGTAGCATCAGGTTATGGGTTATACCTGGCATGCGGTAAAAATAAATAAATAAGTAAACCATAATCGTCTGACAAGCTGCAATGGCTGGACAAGCAAGTTGCTTAGTCTTTTTTTGTTTGGCCAGAAAAGCAAGTTGATTAGTCTGAGGTAGTCAGAAGACAATAGTCAAAAATGACACCCAAGACCCTTGAATCTTTCCTATAACTACTAAAATTTGGGTACGTAATTGAGGCTCTCAATATAATATTCTTAGAGGGAACTTGAATTTCATGTCCCTTTGGTAGAGCCGGGAATCAGGGCCGGCCAGGCCCTTCAGGGTCGGCCCTTCAGAGCTGGCGGGCTTAAAAGGACCGACTCTCCAGGACTGAAATTTTAAAAATATTCCAATTTGCTAGGCCCGGCCCTTAAGCTACAGGGTCAGGGCCGGCCCGCGGGCTTTTGACCCGTTTAAGAAAAAATACAATTTTTTTATATTTATCAAATTTTTTTATGAAAATATAAAAATAAACCAATAAAATTATTAATAAAAGACATAAATATGAATAAAATTAAGTCAGAAATATAAAATATCATCATATATAAATATTCATCAACATCTAAGAACATCTAAAACATTCATTAACAAGATAACAACATCTAAAAGTTTTATCTATAATGCAATTGTTCAATAAATAAACACTATCATTAATCTTTTGAAACTTCATCATCACTATAATTAATTACTTTTCTTCATAAGTATGATTTTCTTTCGTAACAAAAATATCAAGTTTTTCTTCTTTATAAGAATTTTATTTTTGAATTTTACAATCTAACTATTATTTTACTTTAATGTGAGAAACATTGTTGTTGAAACTCATGAATTTCTAATTCAAATTATAGAATCACAAGTTATATAAGTATAAAAATATTCTATTATCAAATATATATAGTTTAAAAATATCAACACATATAATATAAATCAAATCATTATTAAAGTCCAAATTAACCTATTTTTTAAAAATTTAATTGGATAAATTATTATCTAAAACTAAATTTAATTTTAAAATGATAATAATAACTAAATATTTGAAATATTATTAAAAATGTAAAAAATTAATAACATTAATATTATATAAAAAAATTTTAAAAATAAAAAAATTATAAAAGCGCTTAAAAGGGCCGGCCCGCGACCCTCTAGGGCCGGCCCTTTTAAACCCTTGACTCTCCAGGACTAGCCCTCCAAGGCTTATTTCTCATTTTAAGAGAAAAATATCAAACCCAACCTTTATAATTTCAGAACCTAAACGGGCTGGCCCATTCCCGGCTCTACCTTTTGGAAACGAGTTGTCAATTAAGGGTATCGACATTCCCATTTCCAAACCCGACCAGCTCCTTGTTTCTTTCGATAATAGCCCAAATGCCATTCAACCATGTGCCTGTCGAACCAATGCGTGCACAAGCACACTACACAAACTTTACTTTCGTGAATATCGAAATTATATTTATGTATCATTTTTCTATGCATATATTTTTTCTACAACACTACATAAAACTCACCTTTTAAGTTTCATTTACATTGGATCTTCATATCTTTTGACACTATTGACGTTTAAAATTAGCGACAATGACCAAGAGCAAAAGCAAGTCAGCGAAGCCTGACTTGATCTCTTCACAACATAAGCTACTTTCCGATTCATCCAGCAAAATTAACAAAAGCAGTCAGTAGTATCTTGGATGGTGGGTGTCATGTCCTCCGTAATAGCGCATGTTACCAGGAAAATTTCCGTGTGGGGGCCTTGAATTTGGTGCCCCATATGACGAGAGTGAACCTGAGATGCAGAAGAAACAGGTGATGTCTATATGAACACTAAAAAAAATAATGAGAAGAAAGCTGCAGAGAAGTACGACTACCATAGGTGGTAGGGGACAGAGCATAAAATGCTGGTGCGGATGTTCTTGAAGAAAATAGATCAGGCCGAGAATCTCCAAGGTCACCATAAGGTCCTCCATGAGTGTTGTAGTAGAATGTTGTCCTTGCATGAACAACTGGAGATGGTTCATGCATGCCCCACCTGTAGGGATCAGAAATAGAACTGGGAAAGCCCATGTTCCCTTCTATACAAGGCTTGCCGTATGGGCCACCTACTCGCTCAAAATCACCAGCTGGAATGATACCATAAGTCCCACAGTAAACAGTTTTATCTCTAAGTGAAGGACTAATTTCGTAATTAGAATAAGGCCCACATGGAAAACCTGCCCTCGGTAGATGCAGATTTTCGCCGCTTGGATATACTCCAGAACTTCCTAGAAGTCTGGTAGATTGACTTGCTTCATTAATCTATAAACATATGTCAAATAGGCATCAGAATTGTAATAAGATAGGCTCAACTTAATAAAAGCACCTGAGATACTCTCACTGTCCTATATATAAATCAATTCTAACTCACTCATCTGCGCCAATGCAAGTCAGTAGACGCAATAAAATTGTCTTAAATTTGAATCACACTCTACTTTTAAGCCTCACAAACATTATCATTCACCCAAAAAAAAAAAAAACTCACGAGAATATCATATACACATTGGAACTATGACTTTGTTAAACAAACTTTACTCAAAAGAAATCACAAATCAACTTATAATATAAACTACAGCTCACAGAATCAATGAATAACCAGACGCCAGCACATCTATCACTTCTCTACTTTAAGATTACAATTTCCTGCAGTCAGATGGACACACAGGTATAAACAGTAGCAAACAGGTTCAACTTACTTGACCGGCCATCCTGTAGGTAGATGAAGAATTAGGACCATATGAGTTTCGGCAATAACTACCACTGCCTGAACCAAGAGACAACATGCACCATGTCAGGACCATCATATGTATTAAAAAAATTACATCATTTCAGGATATAAATAGTATTAAAACACAAATCGACACCTCCAAAACTTCCAGAATTTTGCAAAGGAGATCTAATAGAAGACTGACAAGAACCTCCACAAGGTAAAGCTGATAACTTGTTAGACATTGAAGCAATATCCTGCTTCATCTGATCCAAATATTTCTGAGAATCTTCTCGGTTCAGTTCCACAAATATAACCTTGAAAAACAGACTACGCATTAGTAGTGGTCATGATTCAGAACAATACAACAAACACACAAGTTCCTACCAAATACCTGATCAAAAAATTCATCTGCAGCAGGCATATCCTTGCTCTTAGGCAGGACAAAATTTTCTGCCACAAAAGATTGCATATTGAGTAAAAGAACTTAAAAAAGGCAGATAACATGGAAAGGAAAACCATTAAAGATTAAATATACCTAGCATGTTATTTACAGCATCAGGTGGTACTTCCTTCCCCATTTCCTTAAATCTTTTACTAGTACGTAGCCTTAGCTCTTCTGGTTCAGGGAATACAACAACAGCAATCTGGAATGGCCAATATATTATGTGAAGGAAACCATTTCCAGAACTGATGTTTAAATAGAGGAAAAAATACAGTGTGTAAGTCTAATGGATTACTGCAGACAATGATGAAAATGGAAGAAAACTTATATGGGTAGTGCAAACACAAACAGATATATAAAAGAAGGGCTAAGATGCAAATTTGCTCCGAAAGTTTTTACTTAGGAGTGCTAGGTATCCATAATTTTTCGGGTGCAAATTTGTTCAGAAGTTTAAAACCGTAGCAATTTTAAACTTCCGGGTGCAAATACCCAGTGCTTTTAAGTGAAAACTTCTGGGTTAAATTTGCACATTAAACCTATAAAAGAATGCAGACACAAACTGATATATTAAAGGACCTCTAGCATTCGGGAGGCTATAGTGCTCTCCTCACAAGAGACAAATCCTCACATTCCTCTACTAAACCCCGCTTCCCCTATATATATATATATATATATATATATATATATATATATATGTATATATATGTATGTATATATATTTGTGTGTATATATTCCTTTCCAATGGCCAATCCTTCACTCTCTTCAACTCACATTCCGCACCTCAAAAGCCATAGGGACTTGGTCTTGGAGATTAATCATGGGTCCATCATTACATTGCCATCCAAAAATGGAAAATTATATACATATCTCCAACCTCCAGCAGAAAGTTGTTACCTTTGAAAAATCAGCAAAAGGCTTAAGCTTACGCTTCCGTGCACTCTTGAACACATTTGTCTGGTCGATTATGTAATTACGGGGTATCTTAGCTGCCCTTGACATCAATGTATTAAATATTTCAGTTGCTCTATCCATCAAGCGATCAAACCTTTCACCATAGTTATTCTTTCGCAGTAATCCAGGTACCTGAACAAGAAGCAAAAAGTAAGACAAAACGCTTTCATCAATCCATAAGCAAAAAGTAGAAGAATACTAACATCAACAGGGCCAGCCATTAAATACCTTCATCTGATCAAGAACTAAATTTGTTCCAAGCAAAACATAACGCTTTTCTGGATGCTCTCTTATCCATTTTTCTGCCCATGTAGTTTTTCCCGAAGCAGGTAATCCAACCATCATTATGACTTCACAATCCCTAATATCAGAAAATGAAGGTCCAATGACCATACTTCTTTCCCCAATAGCATAGGCCCAAGGCTTAAACCCCTCTATTGGCACAAGGCCATCTTCAACACTAAACTGCATTTGTACCACAACATTTTTTAACAGGACATGTGGAAAGAGTGCTGATTCCCATAGCAATGCTTTTTGAGGAGAATCCACTACTTCTAGACCCAATGGGCCAGCATCAAATTGGAATGCTGTACCCAACCATTTACCATTCTTGGAGAAACCGAGGGAAGCCAGTGGTTTACTTTCAAGGTCAATACAACATACTATTGTATCACCATTACCAAACTTCTCGCCATAATCTGAAAATTTTCCTGAATTTGAAAATTTGCCTGTGCCACCATATCCAAAGCTGTTTCTGGATTCTCCAAGGTTTCCTACCATATCATCCCCTCTAGAAATTCCAAGACGACAGACATGCTGTTGATCAGCGGTAGTGTCCTCCATGTCAACTGGCTGTACTGAAACAACTTTGCAACCAAAACAATACTTTCCCCCATTTATTCCAATATTAGCCCGGGCACCAGACCAGCAATAAGCAAACCCTTGATCGTGAAGGGCAGATCCAAAAAGTCCATTGTTTCCAATAGTAAAGTCTAGCAACACACCAATGTTGAGAAACATAATCCATATGTTCACATTAGGATTCTCACTTGCTTCTCTCTCAACACTAAAAAGATACATTCATTTGCAACAAATTGCTGATACAAAATCCATTTAGTACCCAAGTTTGTGGAGAGATATTTAAAGCCATTTTAATCTGTCCTCAAAAAAAGAAGTGAAGAAATATGTTGCTAAAGGTCATTGTAAATTTCTTGAGATATTTAAAACCAGGCTAAAGTATACTTTTAGTCCTTTAACTTTACAAGGTTTTATTTTGGTCCCTTAACCTTAAAAAGTAAACTTTTAGTCCTCTAATCCTAAAATTGTTAACAAAAAATGATGATATTAAACTTTTAAATGCTAATAAAACAGTACTAAATGCTAATATATTAAGTTTAATATTCAAAACAACCATGATTATACAAAAAATTATCATTTAAGACTAATAATTTTGGAATTAAAGAACTAAAAGTATAGCTTTTTAAGTTAAGAGATCAAACCTAAACCTTCATAAAGTTAAAGAACCAAATAAATACTCTAGCCTTAAAACTATTTTCAGTCTCTCGGAACCACAAAATTCGACAATGATTTACAACTATTCAAAAATTAGCCTCCCAATTCACAAGTTGAGTTGTGATATAAAACCGTAGCCTTTACATTCTATGTTAGGAACCAGCATCCCTTACTGGTTTATACTAGGAAGCAATATGGGGAACAAGGGATAATTTTCATGCAAGTTATTTTTGGTTTCTTATATGGTAGTTATCTTCAGTTTATTTTAAAATGTAGGAAGTTATCTTCAGTGAACGAATGGAATTATTCAGAATACAATTTCTCTCTTTTCCCTAGAACTTCAGATATTGCTTCCAGATTTCTCCCTCTTCCCCTCTTCTCTATTTTTTTTTAAGTATAATTCAGAGTATCCTTAAATCACTTTGGATTTTAGACTAATCTCTGTCGGGCCGGGAACATAAAAGTTAAAACCCTTCTAACAAGTGTGCTTCCCGAGATTCGAACTTATATTATCTTCCTTACAGGGTTGAGACCTACTTACTCTATTCCTTTCTATTTCTCTCCTAAATTCTCCAGAACCAAACATTTTGGTATAAAAGCTTTTGCATCTTGTACTATTGGTATAAAATGAATGAAGTATTATTCAAAGAAAACCATTGTCTCTCCTCTCCAGAATTTCAGATTCTGATTCTAGAGTTTCTATTCCCCCCCCCCTCTATTCCTACTTTGTTTCTGTGGGAAAGTGGGCTAGCTATTAGCGGCCCATGAACCAGTATTTTACCCTAAATCTTCTAGGATCATTTAATCATAAATGCTGTAACGGTCATATTAAAATAAAATTTGACCATATCTGATTATTATCCTATCCCATGATTCTAGGAGCTGTTTAGGGAAACCAAATCAGATCTACAATAATTAGGAATATCCTCCACCATCCTCTAAATCGTGTAAAATAATATTTAGTAAATATACACAACGAATCATTCAAAAAAACTAATATGGTATCAGAGCACTGATTCGAACACAATCCCAATGGCGTTCAAAGCTACTCTTCTGCATCCATGCACCTTCGCTGCTGAGGGCAGCAACTCCGATCCCTCACAGCAAGGGACACCGGCCCTAGTCCCTCAGTCTGCCCAATTTCCAATTACCCAATTACCTACAATGGTACAGATACGTGTTGATGTTTGTTCGGGGACGAAATAAGAAGACCTATCTTACTACAGCTCCACCACCATCCACCAACTCCCATTTGCCACATAGTGTACGGAAAACAACCTAGTAATGGCATGGCTTATCAGCTCCATGACTGCTGGTGTAGGAGAAAACTACCTTCTTGCCACCACAGCAAAAGAAATCTGGGATTCTACTAAAGCTACCTATTCTGTCACAGAAAACACAGCAGCTCTATTTCAGGTTAAGCAACAACTCCATGACCTAACCAAAGGTGATCAAACTATTACCAATATCACACTGTTCTAATGAAACTTTGGTAGCAAATAGACCTCTATGAGGTTCATGAATGGCCCAGCACTGCAACAGCCATGTATTACAAAAAACTAATGGATCAAGAGCACTGCTATAAGTTTCTTTTTGGTCTTGATGATTCTTATGATGTGCGAGCAAGAATCATGAGTCTCAAGCCACTTCCATCACTACTTGAAGCATTCAACATTGTTAAGTTTGAGGAAAGCCGAAAGGTATTGATCACTGCCTCAAATATTTCCTCTAGTTCAACTAACCCTTCTGTTCTCGCTATCAATGGCCCACAAAGCGATCGCAAAGCAAAAAAGGGTAATAAGTGGTGTGACCATTGTCATAAAAGTGGTCACACTCAAGAGGTGTGCAGGAAGCTACATGGCAAGTCCCCCAAACAACAAACCGAAGGGCAAACCTAGCAACAAGGGAATGGTAGTAGGTGTTAATTCTAATGAAACCATTAGTCATGATGAGCTGCTATTGCTACGCAAATTTTTGGATAAGCACCTGCCCTCTAGTTCTGAGAGTGAGAACACTACCCCTTCTATCATTCTAACCCATGCAGGTACTACTCTTGCTCATGCTTTTCATAGTTTGACTACATCTAAAAATCTAAGGATTATAGATTCTGGTACAACTCATCACATTACTGGATTTAAGGAATTATTTTCTGACTTTAGTAATTTTTCCATACACAAAACTATGGAAGTTGCTAATGGGCAATTTGCCCAAGTCAAGGGCTAGGGAACTGTGATTATTACTCCTAATATTATTCTGCATGATGTCTTATATGTTCCTGAGATTGAATGCAGCTTGCTCTCAGTACAATAGGTCGCTGAAAAACTTCACTGTCTTGTTACTTTTGATAATATTAGCTGTGCTTTTTAGGACTTGGCATTGGGGAAGGAGATTGGCATTCCTAAAGTATGGAATGGCCTTTACTATATACAAGGCTCCTCCCTACAAGAGCCTATATGTCACTCTATCTTATCCCCTATGCCCCTTGATGAAATAATGTTGTGGCATTCTAGATTAGGCCACCCTAGTCTACGCTATATGCAAGTTTTATTTCCAAATATTAACAATACCGCTATTGCTGAATTTCATTGTGACACTTGCTATTTTGCCAAACAAGTTCGAAATACATATTCATCTCACTCATATAATCCTTCTCATCTTTTTACCTTATACATACTAATGTTTGGGGGCCATCTAAATTTGAAAAACATTCCAAAGCTCGTTGGTTTGTAACTTTTATTGATGACCACACAAGATTAACTTGGGCTTTTCTAATGAAGGATAAATCTAAGGTTTTTTCGCTTTTTCAAAATTTCTATGCCTTTATTAAAATTCAATTCCAAACCTCTCTCCAGATTTTGCGAACTGATAATGGCAAAGAGTATATAAATTCCCTTTTTACAAATTCTTTGGCCATTAATGGTATCCATCATCAAACCTCTTGCACCTACACTCCACTACAAAATGGCTTCTCTAAAAGAAAAAATAGGCACTTAGTTGAAGTAGCTAGAGCTCTCATGTTTGAACAAATGTTCCTTCGAGATTTTGGGGGAATGCTATACTTACTACTACACATCTAATAAATCACATGCCTTCCAAAGTCCTAAAATTCAAAACTCCTCTCCAGACACTTTATGAGCATATTCCCAGTTTTGCCCTCTTTATCTCTCTACCTAAAAAGGTATTTGGTTGCACTGCTTTCATTTACAATGAACATGGACACAAACTGGATCCTAGAGCAATAAAATGCATTTTTCTTGGCTACTCTTCAAACCAAAAGGGCTATAAATGCTACTCTCCTATCACTAACCGAATTTACATTACCATAAATGTCAGGTTTGTTGAAACACAACCATATTATCACAAATCACTTACTCAGGGGGAGAATCAGGGAAATGATTGGATAATTTGTCATCACTCTGACAAGCAAACAGAACCTTTAAGCTACACAAACCCTTCCATGCCTCTAGATATACATATTACCCCACCATCTATACCTGTCACTTCCCAGAACCTCAACACAGCCCCCCAAATAGCTCAAAAAGGACTGAACAAAACCCAACCAGACCTGAAAACTCCCCAAACAGGCCTATACCTCTAAACAGAAACTTCTTTGAACCCCTAAACTCTATATCTAATCAAGATATGACTGAAAACTCGATAGAATCACCTATTCACAGCAGAGAACAGCAAAATATTGAAGAAAGGCCCACAACTAATCCAACACAGCATCATGATTCTGCACCTAAACCGAGTCCTGAAGATCTCCATTGGCCCATTGCTTTAAGAAAAGGTAAAAGGAGCTGCACTCAGCATCCTATCAATAAGTATGTGTCTTACGATAAGCTCTCTCTTCATCTAAAGACTTTTGTAGCTAACGTAGAAAATGTGAAGATTCCTAAGAATTTCAATGAGGCTATTTCAAATCCGAATTGGAAGCAAGCCATCAAAAAGGAACTAAGAGCTCTACATAAGAATAGAACCTGAAAAATTACAAATCTGCCTAAAGGTAAGACAATGGTAAGTAGTAAATGGGTATTCACAATAAAATATAATCCAGATCGGAGTATAAATAAATATAAGGCTCGTTTAGTTGCTAGAAAGTTTACTCAAACCTGTGGCATAGATTATCAAGAAACCTTTGCTCCTATAGCAAAACTCAACACTCTGAATGTACTATTGTCTATTGCTGCAAACTTAGATTGGTCTTTACATCAACTTGACATTAAAAATGTTTTCCTAAATGGAGACCTAGAAGTAGTTTATATGGAAATCCCTTTGGGGATGAGAAATTCAGAAAACTTTGTACAAATTTTTGTATGGGCTAAAACAGTCCCCTAGAGCTTGGTTTGAGAAATTCTACCAAGCAATTAAGGGGCAAGGCTACAAACAATGTCAGGCTGATGATACACTATTTATTAAGCACTATGATGACAAGCTAACAGCTCTCATTGTATATGTTGATGATATAGTATTGACAGGTAATGATAAGAAAGAAATTGCAAGGCTAAAGGAAAATTTAGCAACAAAGTTCGAAATAAAAGACCTAAGTCCACTACGATATTTCCTTGGCATGGAAGTGGCACAAACAAAAAGGGGGATAAGTGTATCCCAACGAAAATATACACTGGACCTCCTAAAGGAAACAGGAATCCTAGGATCTCGGCCAGCCAACACCCTGATGGAACTAAATCAAAAGCTAACAATAAAACCCGATGGAGAAGCAGTAAACAAAGAAAGGTATCAAAGGCTAGTGGGGAAACTCATCTACCTATCCCACACTAGACCTGATATTTGTTATCCTGTTAGTGTAGTAAGCCAATTCTCAAGTAGTCCCCAAAAGGAACATATCACAGCAGTTTACAGAACCTTAAGATATCTGAAAAAGACTCCAGGACAAGGACTATTCTTCGCAAAAGGTGACTCTAGAGAAGTGGAACTTTTCACAAATGCTGACTAGACAGGCTCTAAAAGGGATAGCAGTCCACCACAGGTTATTGCTCCTACGTATGGGGGAACTTAGTAACATAGAGAAGTAAGAAGCAACTGGTAGTTTCTAGAAGCTCAGCAGAATCAGAATATAGGGCTCTAGCTCTAGGTATTTGCGAGGGCATATGGCTTGTAAGGCTCCTTAAGGAGTTAAAGATGGAAGGCAAGGTACCAACAAAGGTGTGGTGTGATAACCGCTCAGCAATAAAAATTGCAAACAATCCTATACATCTTGATCGCACAAAGCATGCGGAAATAGATCGTCACTTCATCAAAGAAAAGATTAACAATAAAGTGATTGACCTAGCTTACATACCCTCAAGAATCAAATTGCAGACGTGATGACAAAGTCCTTAACTCAAGAAAAATTTGAAACATTTAGAAACAAGCTAGGAATGATCAACATCTATTTACCAGCTTGAAGGGGAATGTGGGGAAGTGGGCTAGCTATTAGCGGCCCATGAACCAGTATTTTACCCTAAATCTTCCAGGATCATTTAATCATAAATGCTGTAACAGTGAGGTTGAGATAAAATCTGACCATACCTGATTATTATCCTATCCCATGATTCTAGGAGCTGTTTAGGGAAACCAAATCCGATCTACAATAATTAGGAATATTCTCCACCATCCTATAAATCATGGAAAATGCTATTCAGTAAATATACACAGTGAATCATTCAGAAAAACTAATAGTTTCCTTCTAAACCTAACATTCACAAAAAGTATAATTCTAGATTTTGCATCTAATTGAATTGTAGAAATATGATAATCTCCTCCATGAATTTTTTGAAATAAATCCATCAGAGTCATATTTTATTTTATCCTCAGTTTTTAGTTCAAAGCTCATATTGTAGAAAACCCTCATCTCATACTATAAAAAATAGAGGAATTCTCTATCGAGTACTTTGCAATAAGCAACAACAAAAAAAGGAAAAAATTTATCTAACGCTTGATATCTCGCTACTGATTGTGAACTTGCATTGCTGTGTCAAAAGAAGGATAGCTATTGAATTAATTCATCTTCTCTCTTCTCTAGGATTACAAATTCTGGTTCTAGAGTTTCTCTCCTTCTCTACCCTTTCTCTTCTCTTTCTTCCCCTCTCTCCTATTTCTACTTCTATTTTCCCTATTCTTATACTTCTACTCTTTCTTCTATTTATTGTATCTTCTTCTACCTAGTTTCTAACATTTTGGTCATGCCAACTAGTGTGTTCATCCCATTTTTCATGTGTCTCTACTTAAAGTCACTCAAGGGCATGACCCACAAGCTCCTCTGCCTCAATTGCCTATTAATGAAGATTGGGAGGTCAAGTAGACCCTCCATTTCCTATTAAAAAAGATTGGGAGACACAAGTAGAGTCTCCAAAAGTTTTGGACACACGTGTTTGTGAGGTCAATGGCCCCACATTTGTGGAGTTACTTATTCAGTGGAAAAATCGACCATCAAAAGAATCTAGTTGGGAACTATATAATCTTATTGCTACTCAGTTTCCTTCATTCAGCCTTGAGGACAAGGTTGTTCTCTTGGAGGGGGATAATGTTAGGAACCAGTGTCCCTTAGTGGTTTATACTAGGAAGAAATATGGGAAGAAGGGATATTTCCATGTTAGTTACTTTCAGTTTCTTATATGGTAGTCATCTTAAGTCTATTTTGAAATGTATGAACTTATTTTCAGTTATTGTAGGAAGTTATTTTCAGTTATTTTATCCTATGAGACTATTTAAGTTTATCATGTACCAATGTTTAGGGAATGAATGAAATTATTCAAAATACAGTTTCTCCCTTTTTCCCTAGAAATTCAGATGCTGGTTATATATTTCTCCCTCTTCCCTTCTCTTCTCTATTCCTTTCTATACCTCTCCTAGATTCTCCAGAACATAACATATGACATGTATCACATATCTTTGTCATTATTGTAAATTGAAAAATTTTAATAGTGAACCTTTTTTCCAAACACAGTAAAATAGATAACAAAGAAAAGGTGTACTCTTAAGTGGGTGTTTGGATATAAGCCCAAAAAAAAAGGGCACTCTTTTCCACAAAACCATGGTTTTGAAGAAGACCATCCAAACACCTCAACGGAAACCAGAAAAATTTGGGAAAATGCGACACAGAATTAGCAAAAGAAAGTAGCTACATATCCGATGCAAACCAAAATCTCATTAAGGATGAACAAGCAGAATGGCTATCAGCATTAGAGTCAATCTTACTACACAGCCACAGGACCAAAAAGAATTCTCTGTTATGATTTTAGCATAGCTTTTTTCCAATTAAATGCATGAACATTTGACAGAAACTATGGAACTCTTTATACACGGAATCAACAAGGATTGAAGACCTTGACAAGACATGTGCACAGCAGAATATGCTTGTACATGCGGCAAAATAGCAATACATTTCACTAAGTACAATAACAACTTCATGATGCAAAAAGATTTGGTTATCATTTTTGGCCAGGGTAACAGTTGGGTATCAACCGCATAATATAAAAAAGAAGGGGATTAGGGCTTGGGGAAAAACATTTTATCCAATATCAGTCACTCTAGGTCTAGAGATCGTTATGTTGACAAATACTTGTTCTTTTAAATCTAAATAAATTTTGAAGACGAAATATTCACTAAGAAATCCTCATCAATCGTCTAATCCTACACATCAGAGAGAGAATTTTCAAACAGTATAAGCCAAGATAACATAGCAATGAAAATTTTATACGTCAAGGTTAAATGGACAAAGAAGTCAATTTAGCATGCTCCCAGACCACTTAGAAATAGTTTACTTCTCCGGTAATGATCTTCCAGATTTTGACATAGTTCTCTATGTTTTGTATCATGCTCCAAAATTTCAAACAAAATTTCCAATCGCACCAAGAAAACATTCAATGCAGAAGCAAGAAATCCAGTACAAGTAGCATTCTCAAACCAGTACGTCATCAGGCCAACAATAGCGTGAGCGGAAAAAATTAGATACCTAAGTCACAGTCAGCAGGATTGAGAACGACGCGCTGAGGCATTTCTGGATTAGCAGGAGTAGCGGGCGCAACATGTTCAGATCTTGCCTTCTTTGGGTCAGGTAACGCTTCCGTGGGAAGATGTCGTTTTGGGCAAGCCATTGTCGGGAGCGCCACCGTGAGGAAGAAACGAGCAAGAAATAGAACTGTCTCTACCTGTGTTATAGAAAACGGAGAGAATTCATTTTTGCTTCAGAAAAATAAAAGGCGATGTCCTCCGAGCACTGGAAATTAGGCCAGCCCGACTCTTCACGGGCTGCAGACGTGACCAGGCCCGACTTCTCAAACAGTGGTCGTTTTTCTTTTTGCAACAAAAAGATAGTCATTTTACAAAGCCCCTCTCTGATATATAGGGAGGTTTGGGCCAACCGCGGATTTCTAGGCTCATTTAAAAAATTTTATTTGTTTCACATATTTTTATATGAATAAAAATAAAATAATAAGCTTCATAAAATTCATACTTTAATCTATTAATATTAATAAGGGAAAACCGTATTGAAGGTACCTATACTTTCTCTCAATTTTTAATTTGGTACCTATGTGTTTTTTTCCCTTTAATTAAACATTTAATTTTATCTTTTTAGCAATATTAGCTCTTATAACTTTGTTCTATTGATATTTTTAGTCTCTACATAAGGATTAATGATGTTAATAGAGGAAAAATAAAGATTTAGTTAAGAACAAAAAACACATAGGTACCAAATTAAAAATTAAAAAAAAATATAGGTACATCCAATATGGTTTTCCCTATTAATAAAACAAAATGCTCAATTGTTATCTAAATTTTTAAAAGTAAACTCAATCAACTCATTATTCTAAACATTAATAAACTATTGTTCAAAACTGAATAAATCATACAAAACACAAACTAAACACTAAATAATAGCAACACTATCAACATGATTTTTATCACTATCTTCAATATTAACAATACTTGATTATACTTCACGATGAGTAGGCTTTTCTTCATAGCCAAAAATATCAAAAAAAATCTTGAAATAAACTTCACTTTCATGTTTCGCAATCTAATTATTATTATATCTTACTTTGAAATACATTTACTGTTGAAACTCATAAATTTATAATTCAAATTATAGAACCATAAGTTATATAAGTATAAAAATACTATCTTATCAAATATATAGTTTAAAAATGTTAACACATCTAATATAAATCAAATAATTATATAAAGTTCAAATTATGCTATTTTTAAATTCAATTAAAAAAATTATTGTCTAAAACTAAATAAATCAAACCATTTTATGAAATTTGATTTTAAAACGATAATCAACTAAATATTTATAATATCATTAACAATGTAAAAAAAATTAATAATATTAGCATCATATGAATAATTTAAAAAACTTTTAAAACAAGGCCTAAATGGGGCTGGCCCTTAGTCTATTAGGGTAACTCCTTTTAGGCCCATTTATAATTTGAAGGGCAAATTTTCAGGTCCTGTTCTTGTAATTTTTAGACATAAACAAACCAACCTAACAAGTTTCGCCTCTTTTGCCAGCTCTACCAACACATGCTTCTACTAGCTCCAAATTGTTAATTTAGGTTTGGGTCGACCTTATGGTTTCTTATTTTTGTTTCATGGCCAGTGGGTTTGAGCTACAAGGGAAGGTCCATATCATATTGATTTTTTTCCTCTTTTTTCTTCTTTTTTGTCAAAGATTTTTGTTTTGGGAAAAAAATTCTTTCTATTCCCTCTTGTTTTTTATGGGGGATAATATAATTGCGATATAAACATCAAAGCCACATAATCCAAGGGAAGCACGGAACACTTCTTCTGCTATCCATCAAAATATTGTTGAATCACTTATTTTGATGATGATGATAATAAATTAAGGTCTCATCTAAAAAGGTAGAGGGCTTTTGTTTTGGCAAAAGTCTAGGCACTCAAATGATTTTCAAAATCCAGAAGGTAACTGATGTAGCCCTGTCGTTAAACTATCAAATGAAACTAAGCTAAATGCAGTAAAGTAGCACTAACCTAGATGTCGATCTCTTGAGAAACCTATGAATATCTTAGTAATCTATCACAAATATCAATTTGACCCAGAATGATGTATGAAGTGTTTGTATAACTAATGACTAAACCAAAACTAAAGTAAAACTATCTAAATTCTTTGTAATTTCTGTATTTAATGAATGAAGTAAATACAATGTATGAATTATCCTTGATGGTCAAATCCACCAATCATCCTAGTTCCTCTCTTGATTGAGTTTTAATTCCCTTATTAGACTCGGTTTGTGAAGACCTTCTACAAACAATAAATTCAATAAGCTAGAACTCTAACTCACCAAACTCATCTAAATGCCTAATATGGATTATACTCTGCAAAAGGTATTTTACTCTCTTAATTAACAATGTTAGAAATCTAACCGGTCAATCAAGAGTTTCAAACACTTGAGAAGAAAGAATCAATATAAAAGAGGGAAATATCAATTCAACTAATCAATTAGAGTGCAGAATACAATCCAAATCTCAGCCTCAATGTAAAACAATCGAATTACACCTCTTTACAATCACAAATCACATATCTAAACCATAGAAACTACAATCCATGAATGTAGAGAGTGAAACTAAGATTAAGGTAGAAGAAACTCCCAATTGCAGCTTTAGGAACTCAAATTGGCTTCATTGAACATCAAGGAATGAAGATCTAGCCTCTCATGACTGAAATCACTGCTTTACCAAGCTCTGTAACTTCTATGGCCACAACAGCAATGATCTGAGGGGAAATGAAGGAGAATAATCAGTAGAAAATGGAAGGATTGGGGTAGAAATGATGAATTGATGATGGAGGATGATAGAGAAGTGAAGAAGGACAAAATAAGAGGGTTCTGGACAGAGAGAACGAAGCCAAAACTTGAAAAATTGCGGAATGGCAGAACTGGCGCGCGTTCTGGAATTAAATATGGAAATTTCACATATTCGTCGCAACGAAAGAAGCTGTTGGTCGCAACTAACTCAAAACAACACCATATGAATAAGTGACAGTGTTCCCTTCATGACGAACATTAGTCGCGGCGAAGTGAGGCAGAACATTCTTCCAATGTTCCTTCAATCCTTTAACCACCTACAATATTCAAATTAAGCTCATAGTCATTTATTCTTGGGTATGTGGGATACACCAGAGCCAATGAATGAAATAAACTTAGGAATTAACATATAAAAGCACATAATTGACTCTTGTACCCTTGATGCACAATAACCTCTATCTTAACCCAAATTACACAATCAAAATCCACAAAAGCGTAAGTTTGGACTGGGAAAAATATATAAAATATGAGACTTATCAGTAACAACTTTTTGGGCAAAAACTTAGAAAAGTTTAAAGAACGACCTTCTTCATGACTCTAACACTCAGCCATTTTACTTATTTAAATGCCACCATGGTAGAAAAAGAGAGAACTTATTTAAAAGGCTTTATAAAACTTAACTATTGGTAGAAGAGTTTAACCACACATTTGGAAACCGATTTGAACCTAGAGGGCAATTATGTCACTCTATATAAGACTAATCAAGTGAAGGAATGCCCAAAATGAAAGATGTAGATTCAAGAGGCTATAATGTATTTTTGGAGTCCATTCCAACATATTAAAGGCCCAAAATACAAATATGCACTTTGAGGAAGCAAATTGGGCCATAACCTTCCATATATAAGCCCAAACACATGATACGGTGCAATATGGAGATTTATGAGTGTGAGTAGTACTTTTGATGGTCTGAGTGGGTTTAAAGGAGGCTTACTTGAAGTTTCCGGAAACATACCTGAGGACCAATCCAACTAGTATTTATTTAGCTTATTTAAGTCAATGTTTTTCAATTTATTTTGTAATTTTTGTTTAAGGCCATGAGCCAAGAGTCATTCATTAGTGTTGCCATACAGGATTTATTCATTGTTGTCAATAGGTGATTAATCCTAGGATATTATTTGATCCCTACAAATCAAATTGTCATACATGATTTGATTTATCCTAGTTTAAAATATTTCTTGTTCATTCATAAATTAGACTATTTCGAAATAATCTAACATCCTTTAATATTAATTAAATCGTTTCACAAGTTGAAATATCCTCTAATATTTTAATTTATCCTGATTTTCCTATCTCTTTAGATTTTTAGGATTAAATTAGTATTTCTTTTGAGAGTCCTAGTAAGTTAAGAGTACTAGTTAGAGTCAGTTTATTGGGTTATAAATACTCCTATCATGTATGCTATTAAAAAGTCAAGTTGAATAACTAGTACTATTCAGTATCTTTTTTAGCAATCATTACTTGTTCTTCGGTGTTCTAGATTGAATACCTTTTGGCGATTCAAGTATCCATATCATTTAGTATTAGAGCCAAGTTCCCTCAAAATAGGTTGCATTGTTTCCTTTTCATTATCTCATCTTTTCATTTATCCACCTAGTTCCATATCATTTGGCATTAACATGTTTAAAAGCAAAGAACTTGCAGAGGAAATGAAATTCTTTCAAAAAGAAGTTTGAAGTTTAAATGCTGAAATATGTTAGATTTAAGGTTTTGATGATGACAAAGTAAATAGCTAACTTTCTCTGCATATCTTTACTTATAAGTGTTTATTGATAACTTGATAGATGAATGGAGTATTTGATCACGCGTTAGATAAATGGCTGAGTTTCTTTTAATACAGTTACTGTTAAGCCTTTATCGATCACTTGATGGATAAACAAGGTTTTCGATAACCTTTTGGATAAATGGTAAGTTTCTCTGCATTTAAGCTTTACTAATAACTATTTATCGATGACCTTATCGATAAATGAGTTTTTCGATCATCTTTCAGATAAATGGGTAAGTCTCACTGAACTATAGCCAGTTAAAACACTTTTTGACTTATCGATGCATTTATTGATTTCTATAATCCTTGATAACTTGATCTGAAACTGAGTAAGTATTGCTTTACTAAACTACTTAAGTTGTTCGATAAATCTCTCCCTGTTTCTCTAAACTTTCAAGTTTTGTTTAGAAGTTAATCGATAATTTTATCGATAAACACATTCATTGATCATTTCATCGATAAATACATTTATCAATCACCTTATCAATTAAAGTCATGGTTTTCCTGTCTTGTGTTGTCTTTGTCTAAGTTTTTCTTAAGAGTTTTTTTTCTAATAGC